ATTTGGACTATTCTATGATGTAGAAATATTTTAAATACACAAAACTATGCAAATTTATGACCAAGGCTTACCACACGTCATTCATTAATAAGTCACTTCAGCTGAATACACAACGATCACCAGCTCCATAGCTTGCTTTCAGTTCCCAGAATGATGATTGTGATTTTCACGAGTTGGCTGAGGCTGAACAGAACTTTTCTTGGTTGCAATTTTGCCCTGTCGAAACGACACTTTACGACTGACAATTATCACTTTTCAGGTCACTCGTTAACTTCGCCGCTGATCATCAAGTGGTGCGGATACGAGAACCCTCGATCGGTCTCCAGTTCAAACGGCAGCCTCTATATCCACTTCAAAACCGACGAGACCGTTCAGACCCGGGGATTCAACTTGTCATACACCGAAGACGGTAAGCTCAGGGCGATCTTTGATGTCTAGATCATAAGCCAACGTTTTCCACTTTATGCTGCTGATTAAAAACAAAATCGTCTCACATAAAAATATAGTAAATTCAGATTATCAGTTTACAACATCAGTACTTACAACTTTTCTAATAAACGAATTCAAAGTACTGAAGATGAAGTTCTGCCGTCTACGGTTAAGGCACGCACTGTTTAAAATTATTAGCATAAATTAAAATCAAATTTATTCATGACCGTGCATTCATCCACTTATAAGAAACGCGTTATTTTGAGACAGGATATAAGAGACTTTCTGAACAGCAGTTCCACGCCCGAGGAACCAGAGTTGTGAAGATTTTGGTACGTGGCAGGAATGCCAAAAGGCACAGAGCCATGCAGCAAGCCATCGAAGAACAGGCATATGGTATGATGGCTTGACCGTACTAAACAATTAGTACTGTCGTACCAGAGAATTGGATTAATGGAGCCTGTCTTGATGACTATAGGTTGATTTTGAATCGGCATTAGCAGCGGCTACTCCCACAACCGAAAACAAATTTCTAGCTGGAAGGATTAATGAATGAATAAATGCGTAAATGAATCAATGAATTATTAAAATGGACGAATGAAAAAACGAATGGATGAATCGGCGAATTAGTTAGTGAACGAATGATTAAATGAATCACTGAGTAAATGAGTCAACGAACAAAGAGTGAATAGATCAATGAAAGAGTGAACAAAAAAAGAATCAAAGCTGGATGAGTGAATCAATCAATCAATCAGTGACTAAGCGCATGAATAGATCAATCAGTCGATGAGTTAATGAATGAATAAATTATAAATTATCAATCAATTACTGCATGGGTATCAGTCGGTGAAAACGCTTTGAAAACTTTAAATACTGAACTTGGTAGTACGCTAGGAGTTGAAATTAGTTATAGAAAATGATTAGCAAATCATATTGGAACTGAAACGTTGGAAATTCATCATGAAGTCTTCTTAAGGGTGGAATTTACAATGATCAATTGAAGGATCGTTGAAAGAGTCAATAATTCATAATTTTATAGAACGGATTTTGTCTACGGTACTTCTGCTGTCCTGAAACGTCGAGGGTACATCACAGTTTTCGATTTTGAAAGTTCGGCTTTGTCAGTTCTGTCAATTACTTTCGATGACCGCTTATCCTTTTGGGATGTCAACCTCGGTTTTGTTAATTAAAAAGTTATTCCAAACTTTTGACCATTTCTTTATAGCGTGAATATCTCGTAAGAACGAGCAGATCTCTTCGAAGTGCAGAGAAACTGAATTTCCAATTCGATCGGAAGCCCTTAGACCAAAATCTTTCAGATTAAAATTGGCCCGGCCACGTGACATTCTTTAATTGCCCTTTACTTCTGCATGCCTCTTTTTTTCCTTGCCTATGTTCAAAAGCGTCGTTCCAGGAAACGACTGAATTTCCTGCGATTTCAATGAAGCCTTTTCAGATAGAAACATAAGACCAGTTTACTTGCATTTTGCTGCATCTCCTCATTAAATTGTTCTAGTTGCTGAACGTGCCAGACACAAAGGTCGATTCTTCATCAGCCTTGTTTTCTTTTGAGCCTACGTCAGCAAGTGATTGCTCTGTCGTTAATTGGGAATTCTAATTTTTTTTGAATTTAAACTCAATCTCTCCATAGCATTCATGCAGCTAAGTGGATTCAGAGGAACGAGGAAAATCGTAATATATCGGTCATGAACATAGGTTATTTATCAAATGATAGGCAATTGCACTGGTCTCAATATAACCTGCCCTGCCAGATCTCTCTCTAATTTTACCCCGTCCATCGCGAGCTAACCATGGTTATAAATAACTATTTTTAACACAAGCATTATCGCGTTATGCACAGTACTCTGGTGAGGTGTTCAAAGAGTAGGATCAGTTTTGTCAAATATTATGCGTTGCATTGTGTACAACCTTGAAAGTGTACATTTTGACGAAGAACCTCAACGGGAGGTTTTCAGTTAGTAAACCTTTTGCGTACAAATTTTAGAACGTCTGTATATGACCACTCGTTATATGTGTTAATTGTCTGTCATGCAGTCGCTTTCAGTTGCCATCGGGTGTCCTGACGGATGGGTGGCGAACGACGAGCTGAACACGTGCTATCACTTTGTACACGACAGTGGCGGTGTCAGTTGGTTCGATGCCCAGATGCATTGCATCTACGACATGAGCAATCTGCTGGTCATAAGCAGTCAAGTGGAGTTTCAGGCCATAATCGGTGAGTATGGTGTTTCATACCTGTTCATAAGCGGTATGCTCAGTTCCTTCCCTGTTTCTGATCATTTCAATGGAAGAATTTTTCCGGTTTTAAAGATTTCAATGGAGGCAGGTGTGATCACACGTTGTGAGCATTGTCCCCAAAGCATAATTCTGTTAATTAATATACTCACAACAGATATAAGTGCTGCAGCCAACTGTTTTTAAAGAATGCTACCAGAAAGTGGACCGCAGTGTAGGAAAAATTGACTTCTTTATCATAATCAATTTTTCCCTTTGTCACTTCCACATAAACATATCGTTTAACTGTAGCTTCTAGAGTGATTTCATTGGATTTGTCATGAGGATTAAAAGCGTCAGCCAAAAATGTATCGATGAGAGGTAATAAAGAAAACTCTTATTGAAAAGCATCCTGCTTTTCATTAATTACAGACTCTAACAACATTTTCATCACCCTCATTTCTCTGAGTGGAACATGAGAAGAAAAGGAAGTGCCGAATTGCATTCTTACTGCTGCTGGTAAAGATATGTTTCGTTCCTAGAAGCTGACGGCTGTTTGCTATCGAACTTCTCAGCTTTAGAAATCAGTATGACCCCTGATAATGGTGCATTGGAATAAGAAGTATGTATTGTTGTTGAGATCATCTTTTGCCCTTCTGAGGTATAACAAAGAGTACCAATGTGTGAAGAAGAAAGTCAGCTATTACAAGCTATATTTGCCACGTTGCCTTAGACATTCTTTTAAAATATGACGCCCCTGACTGATGTCGAGAAATAAAACTTAGTCTCGCACCATAAGTTCGTTGAAGAGAAGGGTGCTACCAAAGAACTCGCGTCAGGGATGTTAGGAAACCGACGTCTTCGATATTACAAAAATTTCCTTCCGGTGGTCATGGGCCCTTTGAAAGCAGTCCGTTTTCCAGTTTCGATCGCCTAACAGAGAGATATGGTTTCGTGTCACGAGTCAAAAAGAATTTTATAGAGAGCGACTTTTACTTAGTTCAATCAACTAAGTCAAATTTCCGTTACAGTAATCCCAGCTTTACTCGTTTCTGTGCACGTTGCACTGGAATTGCTAGATAGACTGAGTTACAGAAATTTAACTTTCTCCTGTCGGTTCTCTGGATTTAAATTCTCCTTATTAAAGATGAGTTTTAATTTGTAAGATTATATCAAATACAAGGCCCCGACCTCAAACAGTCATCTCAAAAACAAGCACATGATAATATTTGAAATCTTTGCTACAGCTCTTTAAAATTTACGTCACATTTCAGGTAGCCCGCATCTTGAGTTTCTAGCATTTAGTTTGTATGCGTTTTATGCTAGACATATTTTAAAATATCGATTTAATTTTGCCCCGTAATCGTTGGAGGCGTCCGGCAGAAATTTGCGTCATATCACCGTTCCACGGAATAATAATCGATGCGGGCAATCTGCACTCCGGGCCTTCCTAACACTTGCTGTTCCTTGTTTCGACAGGTAGGAATGCCGGAAGATTAAGGCCAATTTTCTAAGCTTCTTGTCGACCACCATTCTTTGTCACACGGAAAATCCGGAGAGCATTTTAGTCGCTTATGATTTCCCGTGAAACCAGACTGAAATTTTATTCCACTTATCACAGTTGGACTGGGAAATGGCGAATAGCGACAGAGTTCTTTTGTACACCGTGGAACGACATTTATGGTTATAAATTATAGCATTTATTTTCAGTACTTGCCAAGTAATTCTGCTGTGCTTCCTGATGTCATCTGCGTACCTCATTATTAGTATAAAGTATATGAAATCTCATATTGTCATGGGCACATGTTTTGCTTGAGCCACTGCCTGGAGTTGATTGGGGACTTGGCTTGATCATACCTAGTGATGTGACCTCACATTTGCTCATTTACGCACTGCCCGTGTCCTTCGACTTCAGATCTGTTAATGTGTTCATCTCATCATTCCTTTCTTCATGAGTTATCTCTTTATCTCGTCGACATTCATAGTGCTTGTCCAGAGATGTTTACTGTCATTTCATAACTGTCATCGTTATATCTTCCTACGTTATGCTAATGTTCACTGCCTCCACTGCTTCTCCTTCTTCTACTATTACTTCTTCTTCTTGCATATCATGAAGAACATCAAATGAATTATTGAGTTTGAGCTGGAACAGCGAGCACTTCATATGTTTTCACGTCAAGTATTTTCCTCACTACGAAAGATGCTTCATTATCTGGTACTCATTATATGCTACCACATAAATATCAAAAGGGGGACAGTATGGAAGTAACACGTGATTGTTCTAATACCACCTTTCACGGCCCATTTCATTGCCATTTGCTCATAGTTCCCGAGGGTAGCGTCATTTAATTAGGCCACGTTTCTATTTTATATGAGCACATATAGCGCCTAAATGTGGTAGCGTATAACAAGTATCAGCGTCGTTCGGAATTTGTGCGAGGTGGATCTAGCGAGCAAAGTTATGTGACTTGCAACTGGAGCTGGCAAAGTTACAATTGGAAACTGGGAAGTGCGCTACCCATGGGTGCTCAGTCGGTTTATCTGAGGAAAAGGAAATCGAGGGAGAAATAATTCATCTCTACCGTACAGAAAGGTATTAGTTCTACGGAAAGGGGTAACCAATCATCATCATCGATGAGCATTGCTCTGGAGGGAAGAGGAGGGGCTAGACAGATTTGATAAACTTGTCAACTTGTAACTGGCAACTTCCAGTTTTTGTTCAGCTCTTTCTACAGAACCATAATGCATTCCTGGAGGAAATATTCAAAAGATTCTGGGTTTGGTTTCAAATTAATACTTATAAGCCTTTGCTGAATACAAAAAAA